ATGAAAAACGGTTAATCTCTGAGTTGCATGTACCGTGTTCCAGACAAGGTCACAGAGAGATACGAAATCACAAAAATGACTAGGTAAAGTTAGAAGGTCAAGTGTTAACCAAACAATCACCGGCAGCTAAGGGGGCCGTAAATCTCGACTGCGTTGCCCATTTTTAAGCAACACAGGTCGCCGGGACAATGGCAATGCATAGGAACTTAAATGCAGTATAAGCGAACTCTGTCTTGCACAGAGATCAGTGCTGAAATTTAATTTCCTTGAATTCGGCTACCTGTAATTTACGGCTACGAACTTTCATTTATAGCGGATTTCAGCTGTGTTGAGGGCCAATGGTTAGCGCTACCAGAGTTGCGCTAAAAGCAGCATGCCAGCAGGTACTGCAATGATCAGTGACGATGTAAGCATCACTCAAAACAAGAATAAGCGCAACTTAAAACGGAACGTTTAATCATTGCTCATTCAAAACATTCATTCATGATGCATTTTGAAAATGAAAATATAGCTAAAACATGACAAAAGAAAATGTATGCATAAAGTGCATATGTCGAAAACCAACTTAAGGCCGGAAAATTCGCGGTTCAGGCTGTTACAACAAATGGGACAGATGTTCTCCGCATTTTTCGCTACATACAGAAAGAGGCCTAAGGAGTCAAGTGAAAATCATGTTTTCATAATATATTTTTGAATACCACTAATCTGCTAATAAAATACCCACTAACCGAGTTCTTCCTTGAAAGGACGGTAAAATTCATTTATCATTTGAACAGAGCATGACGATTCATAAGCTTATATAGTCAACGCCTTTATTATCAATACAAATCAGCAAAACTTCGAAGGAGTGCTGATATGAAGAAACAGGACAAGTTTCAGAGTACAGCAATGAGATGTCTTCGCTTGTCGGTGCCGGAATTTTTATGTAGCACTGCCAATGCCGATCCTTTTAGTGTCAAAATATTGAGTCTGTTTGTCGTTTCCAGATGGTTCTGATGGTTCCAATTCTCTATTTTGGGTCGCAGATACGGCTAATTTGTCGACAAGATTAGACTAGCTTCGGGACCATTTTTCGTCAGATCAAGAGTCACACTCCAGTAATCTGATTACCGAAATAGAGCTGCTCCGACGGGCTTTGACCACTCCTTGCATTCGAAAATTTCAGCGAAAAAGATTTGTGATGCGTAAGCGTGTTGTCACTGTGGAAACAACTGAGCGCATTCTTTGAATTTTGTTTTTTCCACATAAATCAAATTAATAGCAATTGGCTGACATTTTCATACGACATAAACTTTGTATTTGGTAGATACTTCCCAATAGAAAAAATCACAATCTCAAC